GGGAAAGAGGAAAAGGAGAGAAGTAAAGGAGGGAATGAAAGAAAGAGAGAAGGAGGGAATGAAAGAAAGAGAGAAGGAAAGAAGAAGGAAAAGAGAGGAAGTAAGGAAGGAAGGAAGAGAAGGAAAAGAGGGAAAGAAAAGGAGGAAAAGGAAAGGAAAGAAGGAGAGAAGGAAAGGAGGAAAAAATGGCAACGAGAGGGGGGAGGGAGGGAGGCTCTCCCACCCCCATCAAGCCCCCGCCACCCCCACCTCTTTAGATCCCTTACTTACCGCTTCGGCGTGGGCTAGGGAAGTCGGCAGTGGGGCTCTCCAGGCCTCCCCCGGGCCACAGCGCTTCAGCATGGGCCCGGGAAATCCAGCTGCGGGGCTCTTCAGGCCTCCCCCGGGCCACAGCGCTTTGGCATGGGCCCGGGGAAGCCGGCTGCGGGGCTCTCCAGGCATCCCCCGGGCCGCAGCACTTCTGCGCGGGCTTTGGGAAGTCAGCTCAGGGCCTCTTCAGGCCTCCCCCAGGCGGCAGTGCTTTGGCGCAGGGAGCTGGGGGCAGGGCTTGCCGCCACCACCATTTGTGCCCACTCCTGGGCTGCTGGAGCACTGCTCCGGTGCACTCCGGCCCCAAACAACCCCTGTGGATGCCTATTCATTTTTGAGCCAACTCCAAAGTGCTGGTTATCATCTATAATTCCTTACACAATTTGAAATTAGGATTTCTAAAAGACCATCTATTCTTATTCACCTCAGCCCATATAATAAATCCCACCTGTGGCCCTGCTCTGTCTGCTTCCATTACTGGGGTTAGATGACCAATAACAGGAAAATTGCCCTTTTTAATTGTGACACACCAATTATAGAATTGCATCCCCATCTCAGCTCACCTGATGAGAGGCTTGTTAAGATTTCAGCACTAAATCAAGACTTCTAAAAAATGTATGCATTCTTTATGTAGGCATTTAGAAAATGTATATGCTGCCTTTCCAGATTTACTCAAAGCGGCTCACAACAGAAATCCAGGCATTTTAAGTTTGTATTTTTTACTGATTGATTTTGAATGTGTATTTATGTATTAATTCTGCTTATTACATTGGGTTTTGTAAGTTACCTGTATTTTTAAAACGAATAAAATGCAATTTAATCAAAAATTTCACCAATTTTACTAGAAACCTACAGATATCCTTTTTGCCATTTAGCACATGAGAAGGAAGAAGGAAACAAGTGAATAAACTGGAATATATCAATGCAACATTACTCGAAGAAGTGGGAAGGCAAGACCTCACAAACAGTTGCATTGAAACAGAGACAAACATATTTTGGAATGCCTGAAGCAGGCTTGAACAGCTGGTACTTTCCACTGAGATCCATCTACCTGTAGAACTTATGTACACGTTAGCATCTGTTTACCCCTTCCTCCTCTAGGCATGCAGTTTGCCAAATCTGGTCAATCCAATGGTTCATTTATTCCAATATCCATTAATCCTTGAAAAAATCCCTTCTAAAGTACACCACACACAATATTTCATTGTCTTTTAATTACATGGAAGACATCCCCTCACCCCCCGCAAATTGGGTTTATTTGGGAATTAGGATTATTCTATCAATTCGTGGGATTATATTTTTAAATAACCCCTTCTGAAGTTAAATTTTTACTAACACTAAGTTTGAAAAACTGCCCATAACTTGGTGGAGGGGGGTAATAAAGTCCACGTACTACAAATATTGTGTTTAGGTCTTTAAAACTGATCACAGTGAGTTACCTGATAACTACCAAGGAACAAGGAGGGAATGGAAAACTTAATGCCCATCAGAAGGCAATTTGATCAAGAAATGAGAGAAAGAAACTTGTGAAACAGTGTGATGGTAACAGATTTTGACAAGGATTTTTTTTTAAGTGGATGTTGGAAATGGTTGTTTGGTTTGTGAATTACTGCACCATGAGGTACTGAGTGCCAACAAGAATGTATTTCCATATTATTTAGAAGACTGTTCTCCCATGTCTAGAAACATTCAAAGACTAATTGACCTGTGATCTGATATTATCTCTTTACTTATCATTAATAACACTCTGGAAACACTACTGGTTTTGGTCATTGTTCCTCATCAGTCTCATTTGACCAGTCACCTACTTCTACTGATATTCACTGCACTTTGACAAGTGACCCAAGGAAAGAGGTAGAAGACAGAATACACATATATGTCATAAAATATATACAGCTTTCACTTGACAGCAACTCTGTATAGAAAACTTAAATGATAAAACATGACAATTATTGCCTTTGGGGTATTATGGCATGTCTTGGGTATAGAGTTCCCAGGCTGACTTACCCTGCCAGTGGAGGTGGGAGGCAGCTTTCTGGGAGTGGGGTGGGAGGGGCAACATCACCAATGTGATGATGTCACCCAGAAGTGACATCATCATGCCAGAGACGTCGTGCAGTGACACTGTAAGGCGGAGGCAGAGGCGGAGCCGTGGAAGGCACGGTGACGTGGCGGCGCAGGCGCAGCGGAGCCGGAAATGGACGTTGGCCAGGGCTGTAACTGACACAAACTGCGCACCAGGACGAGCCTGCCAGAGGAAGCCACCGGACTGGAAGACCTACTCCAGGACACCAGAGACTGAGCGCCGACACCCGAAGACCGCCTGGAAGAAGGAGCCGAGAACAGCAAGCCCTGGCACCTTGGTGCCGGTAGGCAGCCCCATCCCTTGAGTAATATGTGGCCTTAGATAGGAAAAATTGGAAATTGGAATTTCTGTGTAAACCGCTCAGAGACCCTTCGGGGTTGGAGTGGTATATAAATCGAATGTATAAAATATAAATAAATAAATTTAGGGCAAAACTCTATGGCAAAACTTCCATGTGACATAATCGCATCACTGACGTTGCCGCACCAGGAGGTTGTTTTGGGATGGGGCTTCCCTCATCCGAAGCCCTGAAAATCAGGGGAACCCCT